GTTAGTTAAGCGATAAAGAACCGTTGTACTGCACTGTAATAGTCATTTATTCCAAGACTTGTGAAGATTCCAAAAGACACGACGACTACGCACCCGACCCCAAGACCCTCTTCTTGAATTCACGTACCGACTCACTGATTGCTGCTGGGAAATCTTCCAACGAAATCTCGCGTTCCTGCAGCTTGGACTCAAATTGCGCCATCCGATCAGTCTTGCCACCATCAAGTGCCTGCAGCCCTGAGCTGTTGGGAAGTCAGTGAAGTCAAGTGAAACAAGAAGGCTACCAGTACCAGAAAAACAAATGCTAACAGCCAACAAAATTCTGTCAGATTATCAGCAGACCAACTTCCAGCCAAGAATCAGGATAGACAAGCCAGAACTGACTTGGCAATTTTGGGAGCGTCATAGATGTCCTTCAGCATCTCACCTCCGAACATGCGGTTCAAATCCTCCGGGATTTCCCATTCAGCTTCAACAATGCATCGCTGACAGCAGCATACGCTTTCCCCAAGTCTGTCGCTTTGGTCTTTTCAAGCTCTGCCTTGACCACAGACATGCTGGCTGCTGAGAGGCTGGGCAGTAGAGGGTAGCCTGGGACAGCGGTCTTCATTGCACCCAATGATTTGGTCATCGAATCCACTATGTCCTGATCAGCTTCTGGGAGGTCAGCATGGGACTGATGCTGGATGGCCTTGATATCTGCCTCAACAGAAGCAAGGGCATTCTTGATGTTTGCACTCTCTGGCTCTGACTCATCACTCACAATGGACAGATAGTTGCCCATCAACTTCTGGATCCGCTGCAATTCTGTCAGGTCACTCTTGCTGCGACCATCTTGCAAAGAGATCACCATGTTGGAGATCAACGTGGTTGCAAACTGCATGAAGCTTGTTTTGAAAGTGCTGTAGTTCTCGCCGAATGGCTTTCCAACTCCATCATCGCACACAATCCAGAACAAGCTGATCAATTCGTCACTGACGGAGAGAGATGTGGCAAAGGAATCTGTGCTCTCAAGAGTCACTGAAAGCTTCAGTTGCAGTGCCTTGGACACATGGGCAGCATAGACAATCAGGCTGCGAGTATTGTATGCCAGCCAATTGACCTCTGCAGAGAGGCAGTTTTGGCCTGCGTTTTGGTCTGCGTTCCTCTGGACTTTGCCAACAAAATCCGCAAGCTCGTCTACATTGCGGAAGGTTGCCATTGGGAACAATGAGGACGACTCAAGCCGGTTGTTTGCAAGTGCGCCAGCAATGTCCAGGAGAGATTGAGAAACCACATCACCTGATTTGTTGTAAAGGAGTCAAATCAAACAGTCAAACCACAAAGCACACAGCGTTCAGCCCAATCCCAATCATTTGATGTACAAGTTGAGTGTGGTACAACACAATGACTCGACCAGTTTGAAGCTTGAGTTTCTGGGGCCCAAACTCAATCCTTTGTGAAGCACATTGAGCGCGGATGCCACCAAAGACTTTCCTTCCTCGCGCACCTGGACATGCTGTGAATTATCTCCGTGTGGTAGAGCTGCAACTTGTGAATTGAGGTCCACAATCTTTGACACATGAGCGAGGATCTCCAAGAAGGTAAGCGTGCCAAAGTCGAAGTCATGCCCAGTCTCCGAATCCACAAGCAACTCCTTCTTCAGACTGGGCATGTTTGATTGCAAAGTCAAAGCATGCTTGCTGCACTCAGTGTCAAGCAATTCATTGGCAACCGACGCGTGGCAAGCCTGTTGGAGTTTCTTGAAATGAGTCATATTCTTGATCCTGGCAAACATCTTTGCATCATCACCCAACTCAACGGGGCTCAGCACCACAGACAAGCGATCAAGGTAGCTCTTCAAGTCAACCACCCTATGAAGCATTGCCCAAAACATCTTCAGCACATTCCCCACCTTCTCATTGATGCATTCGATGCGGGGGTTGAAGTCAAGAGGCATAAAGGCTCGCAACCCCTCCTCTGTTTGCTCCCAAGCAGTGGCGCCCTTCACACTGAAGGCCTTGACCACAATGTCGCATAGCCACTTTGATTGAAGCTTTTCCACCTGTCGCCAAATCACCAAATCACCCATGCGAGCAGTCCACTGATTGCTGGGGCCTGTACCCTGGGAATGATAGGTCAACAAAGTAGTCTACCAGTCACCAGTCAATAAATGAAATTAATTTCAACATCATCTGATCTGGTGAGTCAACCAACATGTGGCCTTCCCGTCTTCCCCAAGACAGTTCCGGATTGTGCACCTTGTGGTCCTCACTGTGCCAGCTGTCCGGGCAAAAGAAGATGAAATCGCCAATCTTGCCAAACCTTGCAAGACAGACATGACAAAACAAGACCGAAATTGATTGGACATCGGAAATAAACAATATAAAAGTTGGGAGCTTTATCTCTCCTTCTTTTACCGCAACTAACAAACGAAATGGAAGGCAGGAAACGCATCGTCAAGGGTTGGCTGCACTTCTTCACCCTCGTGGGTAATTGGCAGAAACACTGCCTGACGAAGGGACAGGCCGCTAGATTCACTTAGGCTGCTCTGCTCGAAGCTTTCGCCAATGAGCTTGTTGACCGACAACATCACCCACGCCTGAAAGTGTGAGCGAACTGGACAGAGCCAGTTGGAAGGGTGAATCACAAAGCATGAAGACAACATGAAGCTTTGAATTCTTGGAAGATCTTGGGAAACATTGGCAATTAACATCAAGAAATCGGAGAAACAATTAGATTAGACCACCCAGTACAGCGGAAATGCGCCAGCTGCCTGCACCCACTGTACAGGAAAGCCGACCACCAGCCCCGGTTTCAGCCGCTCCCAACAATTCTGAAGACAGTTCACTGATTCCTGCAGCTTGTCAGCTGTCGGCGGACCACTCTTGTTCATGGCCCGGGAGAAAGCTGTGGAGTGGAATGTATATAGGAGCGGACTTGCTATAGATAGATGGGGTGGGGACAAAAAAATTCTCCACCCAAAATACAGTAGTGTTTTACTGTATGATTCGATTCAAATTCACATCAATGATTTATACATTCTATTTCATTATTGAATACATTGTTTCGCTTTGTTTTGTTACACTTCGAACTTCAATCCCTGTCCCTGACCAACAACCACTGCGACCAATCAGTGCAGCCAAATGTCCATGCATTGTGCTCTCATGTCTTTGCACTTCTCCAAAGCTTCCCGCACAGCAGCGCACTTCACAGAAAACAGGCCTGTGTCCACTGTGCACTTGAGCTTCTTGTCATTGGCGGCGGTGCCAAGACGCTTGAGAGCAGTAAGCGTGCTCTTGACCACCTGGTCCACCCAGCATGGCCTCCAAGTGACACAAACCAACCCGGAGCTTTGCAACCTCGACTGGCCATTTTGCTGCTCCTGCTGCAGGTAGCTTTTTTGGCAATGCAAAAAAGTCCACATGATTCTGATGTGAGTCTCAAAGATGCCACAGTCACACACTTGCTGGGGATGACCACTCCAGGGCGGACTGGAAAGCCGCACATGGCGTCCAAATCCATTGGAGCCACCTCAATTTCTTCTGGCTGTGTCTGGGAAGGTGTGGGCGCCGCCGGCGCCGTCTTTGCCTTGGCATTCAAAGCTTTTGGTGGACGATTCCCTCCCTGACTTGTAGAACCACCCAATGGTGTGGATTCATCCTCTTCATCTTCCATAGTTTCCCCTCTCTCAGCAATAGCTTGAGCATACAAGAAGTCATCATAATCATCATCATCTTGCTCTTCTGCCTCAACGGCTGATGTTTGGGGCTCCTGTGGAACGTCCTCGCCAGCAGCTTTCTTGGCCTGTTCATCCTCTGCCATCTTCTTCTGGATGGTCTGTTGAAGGGTCAAAGCAGAGTCCAACACATCAGGAGCGGAGGATTGCAGCAAACGTGCTTGGCTGGAGAAGCTGCCATCCCTGAGTGTCCAAAGAAAAGGCATGCGACGGCATGAGCATGGATAACTTTCATGGGCACTCTTTCGTTTGTCATTTGTGTTATGTGCGTGTGTGTGGGAGAGTCATTACTCCCAGTTGTGTGATCTGTGATATTGTTTTGTGTGACATTGAGATCATTGAGTCATGGACCATGGAGGCCACTGAGGCTTGCACAGCTGACCATTCCGCAAAGCATCCGGGTCATTGTCCACAACGGATGAAGAAGAAACACTCTGGTTGATGACAAGTTCCGCGTCCCACTCTCCTGCCGGCCTCTCTGGCACAAACACAGCCTCACACAGCTGTTGGGTCAGAGGGTTCTTGCTCTTGACAACCTTGTGCTGGCTCTTGGAAGGTGAGCCGTAGACCTCCTTGTACCTGTCCAGAGACACCATGACACTGGCGACCTTGAAGGTATCCTTCTTGTCAACCTGGCGAAACAAACCAAGCCGCACTCCAAAAGCTGGTTTTGGGAGACTGTGCTTGTACACTCAATTTTTTTTGGAACACTGCACTCAAGACAGACAAGGAACGGATTTCTGGCGTTTTTTCAGTCTGGACCCTCCTGAGGCAATGCGCTGACGCATGTCTTCGATGTAAGTCTCGCGCGCTGCCTTGAACTCCCCATACTTGAACTCCTTGTTTGAGTCAAGTCTATTGACTACCTCCTCCTTTCTCTCACTGGTGTACCCCCTTCTGCAAGTCTCACTGCAGTCTTTGCAGAACGGACCGCTGGGTTGGGCCTCTGTCACGCCAACGGCCTTCATTCGCTGTGTGAGCTTGTAATAGCCTGGTGCCCATTCTAGGTAATCACCATCGATGTACGTGTCCGGACTGTGACTTGTCCTGTCACATCCATGGCACATGATCTTCAATAGCGGCTTTCCCCTAGTACGGCGGCCCAAAGCAATCCGAATGCCAGCCGCCGTCAAGTCCACACGGACTGGATCACCCACACTGGACGTCATCTCAATGTGGGACATAGGATCATCCGTCATGTTCATCGGCACCTCGTCATCAACAAAGTTTATCAAATGTTCTCCCCTCTAACGGAGCCAGATCTACTTGTGTGTTGTCTCGATGTGTGTGATCTCTGTGTGTGTGATCTCTGAACGGAGTCAATGAGTCAGTGGTGTCAGATGAGTGGTGTGTGATGAGTGGTGTGTGGTGAGTGGTGTGTGATGAGTAGTGTAAGATGAGTGGTGTGTGTGATGAGTGGTGTGTGATGAGTGGTGTGTGATGAGGGGTGTGTGGTGAGTGGTGTGTGGTGAGTGGTGTGTGATGAGTGGCGTGTGTGATGAGTGGTGTGAGATGAGTGGTGTGATGAGTGGTGCGTGAGATGAGTGGTGCGTGAGATGAGTCGTGTGTGATGAGTCGTGTGTGATGAGTGGTGTGTGTGATGAGTGGTGTGTGATGAGTGGTGTGTAATGAGTCGTGTCTGATGAGTGGTGTGTGTGATGAGTGGTGTGAGATGAGTGGTGTGTGATGAGTGGTGTGTGATGAGTGGTGTGCGATGGTGTGTGGGAAGAGCGGAGGAGCGGGAGAAGCGGGAGAAGCGGGATGAGACATAGAAAAGAAGAACCCCACACTAAGATGTGGGGAAAAATACTAACACTGGCTGCAAACCCACGCATACTGCACAGAGAATGAATCCAAACAGCATTTCTACTCGCGATACGGCGGTCGCCTGATAGATCAGGCACACGATCCGAAAACCTGGCTGGCTCAATGCCCTCACACCCGGCCAACCGTGTGATTTAGCTTTCACTAACATGATTCTACAAGTCGGGCACTTTTCGCGACAGATGCATGGCTTGAAGCACATTTTCTACACACGTCACTGAGCTTCCGACACATAGCGACAAGTAGCCAGGATGAACAATCATACCTCCGCTCTGGTACAGAGCTTTCCAAACGGGATCGTCTCTGCTCACAAGATCGCCGTACGTACTCTAATACTACTGACATTCTCAACGTCCCGGGTCGCTCTGCATCGCCATAAACCTCAAGCGGAAGTGCTACGCCACAGCTTAACTAACATCACAACATGACAAACACTATGGGCAGTGTAGCGCACGCTCGAAACAGATCTTTCAACATCTTTCTATTCTAGTTCTAGTCTTTTCTTGCATCTACACCCTACCTGTCACCAATGCGAAAAACGCGAGTCTGAGCCAGCCGCGGTCTGCCCATGCACTGGTTCATAGCGTTGCAGACGCAGACACGATGTAAACTTGACTACAGTCTTGCGCCGTCCGGGCAATGCAGTTCTGCAGAAACTCGACAAATCAGTCTAAACTGCAAAACTTCTGACACACACTGCGAAAATCTGGCGTTCACGTTTTCTCACGACACGGCCTGGTCACGAGGTGATATCAGCTTCCGACAGATAGAACACAAGAACCCCACACTAAGATGTGCGGAAGCAACCACCATACCCGACCAGAGCCGACCAGAGCCGACCA